ATCGACATTACCTGTCGGGGCGCCTCGTTTCAGTTGGTCAGAAATTTGGGGGCAGGGGGGTCAGCGGAGGTAGCGTGGCAAGCATGTGTGCGCACATGGGGGCGCATCTCTGGCACGTCGGAAGTTGTCGTCGTTGACCCTGGGGGGAAATTCCAAGGAATGTTTGCCGATAACTTGCAGAGCGACGGTGCGTGCGCGTCTCCGACGGATGCTCGTTGCCCTCTTGGCAAAACGGTCGGACGGACAGGGTTATAAAATAATGGGAACGACAGTTCCGAACAGCCGTTCGCAAAGTGGCCTCGAACGATCTAGCTAAATTTCACTCTGGGGGAGCTTTGGCTCGGTGCGTAGCCGTTGCCAGAACCGGGGCGGCTTTTCGCCTATGCAGCTGGTTTTCTGTTTTACGCGACGTTTGCCAGCGACGCTGCGCCCCGATGATCCCACCGATTCCAAGTGCCTCTCTGCCGATGCGGTGCGAGATTTCTTCAGTGCCAGAGGATCCGACGGGCAGCCATGAAAACCTGGGCTGCTATGGATAGCCGAGCCCGTCTACTTCGAGTTCTCCGCGCGCGTCGCCGTGTACCGCGTAGCTCTACCGAGGGCCAGATCGTGTCTGTCTACCGGCGAGGACGAGTGGGCTCTGGGAGTGGATCAATGCGCGGGGTGCGCTGTGGCGTGGGTCGAACGATCAGATGCGGATCGCCGCTCAAGACGAGAGCCGAGGCATCGGGATGGTCAACCGTTACCTTCGCGAACTTATGATTGACCACGAGCGAGTTTGTGGTGCCCGACGTTGCGTAGACGTGGTCGTGGACGGCAATCCCAGGTTTCCCGGAGATAATCGCTAGGAGACTGTGAAGCAGCAGGCGCTGACTTGGTCCTGGACGATTCGGACCCAGATGCTGGCCGACAAGCGCAATGACCTTTTTTTCAGAACCAGAGCTTCATCCTATGGGCGACAGTCATGACGAACCAGGACTTGCTCGACGGGCACCGCGAAGCGCTGACCGACAGGTGCGACCGCGACTGGGCGCAGCATCTGTCGAACCGCAGAGCGAGCCAGTGTCGAACAAGACCTCTGTGCCGGTTGCGCTGGATGGAGCACCCAGCGCGACGGTTCGAGGTTCAGGTGCACCTTGGCTCGCCAATGCGGCATCCTACTTGCCGCCTAAAAGCGCCGACCACTTCTGCGCCGGCAGCGGCTGCTCGGGCGAGCTTGTTACATGCTGCGCAAGCAGCAGTCGCAATGCACAGGTCGCGGATGATTTGTCGGGGGCGCTCGAGATCCCCAACGTCGACGATGTCTACGCTGCTCGACTGTCCTGAGCGGCTTCTGTGGACACTTCAAGGTCATTCTTCATTAAGAAAAAGCGTGCCGAGGACGAGGTCAATGCCAGTCCGTTACCTGAAAATCTGAAACAGCGTTTCAGAGGGCGAACCGGAATTAGATGGAAAGAGTGCTCAGGGATGAGCGCCGTTAGTCTTGATGGCACCACGGCCGTCCGAATGCGTTGAGGGGCTGCTGCCGCAGACATCTGACGCAGATCTCCGCGACGTGTCCTTCCATCTCGCTGCCGCGATCAGTGGGGGGGATAGAGGGGCTGACTGCGACAATGGGCTCAAGGAGTCGTCTGTGCCATAGAGCTACGATGCGAAGTCAAGGTGGATCACTCAAGGGTTTTATGGCCCAGACGTCGCCGTGTTCAATCGCACCGTACCTACCCCTTCGACGTCAGGTATTCCTCATGCTCTGCAATGTTTGGGCTCTATCAAGGCAAAACATGGTTTGGCGACGTGAGCTCCGCCATGGCGCTGGGCTTGCGCAGTGAGCGGGAGCAAGCATTTGTTTGCCTCGCCCCCTGCTAGTGGCATCCTTGGAGAAGACCCGAACGAGTTGATTGTTATCGAGTTGCCGGCATAAGTTGATGGCTTGGTTGCCGTCTCTCCAGGCTGGCGCAGAAGTTTTCTGACAGCTTTCAAAGAACGCGGTTTCGCTCGACGCCCGCTTGCGATGTGTGTTATGTTCGCGTGCGAAATCAGGGGCAATTTTCTCGACTCGTTGTCGTCGAGACAGATGATTTGTTGGGGGGCGGTATTGGCGATGAGTTCTTCGATGCCATTTCGCGCCTCCGCAAGCGCTTTAAGTTCGGGGAATGACAGAGCTTATGGGCGACGCTACTGGGATCGGCGGACGTGCCCTACGGCAGCGCAGATTTCACGATTTCGATTGCGCGGTGTCGTGCAGAACGCGCGCGACCTATCCACCCGCCGTGCGGACGCTGCAGCCTGCGCCGACAGACCTTGCCGTTATGCGTGGATCGTGGAAAACTCAGTTGGACGTGCCGGGGAGGAATGCCGAACGGCTCTGGAGATGCGTCTCTCTTGAGTAGTACCTTGCCCAACTCCCAGGTGAAGGGCCTTATTGAAGCCAGCGCCGCTCTGCGGCGTCTCAAGGTTGCCGACGCCGCGATCGCTGTCGAGTCCATGTCCTTTTCTCGACTTGGTCTGGTCGCTGTGTGTGTTTTTGGATTGGATATTATGGGCGTGGGACAGGGGCGCCCCCAGACCGGCGACATGATTTGCGCTGCAGATCAGGGCCTCCTTGTTGGCAGAGAAGCCGACGTTCGTATTCTCACCTGGCATTCTCACAGGACTGAAGCGCAGGAAGTTCTACTTTAGAGGTGGATCCAAACGCCGTGTCTGAATGATTGGCTGAGGCAAAGTGGGTTACCTCTTGGACTTACTCGGTACATGATAACCGGCATGAGCTCCGGGGCCGCCGCGCCATGAATTGGGAGATGCGAGTGGCGACGATCATGGGGCATAGCCCCGATTTTGAGATCATTACCGTGGCAGACGCTTTGTCGTTGTGCGATGGATTCAATCGGGTAGCCCTCCTCGGGCTGCTGTCGCTGGGGTCGCGCCGTCGTGCTGTTTTGCGCCGCCGCCGACGGCTTGCGATCTTGGTCCGGCTGCCGCGTCTCTCCCAGCCCGTGGCGCTATGCCGCCAGAAGAAGAAGGGACGATTTACGACCTGCTGAAGTTCCCTGTCATCCCCGAGGAGTGACGAGTCGACTTCGACGGCGACGACGTTTTCCACGGCGCGGTGGAAGGCGAGGACTTCTTCGACGTGGAGGACGAAAAGGAGGCCAGCTCGGGTGGAAGCTCTATGAGCCAGGCTCCCGCCTCTTCTTCCGCCGAAGGCTCAGCTCCAGCTGTGTCCAGCACCTTTCAGCAGCCTCGAGTTGAGACCTCGTCGGCAGCTTCAAGCTGACGTGCATGCGACTCGTCAGCAGCAGACTAATTAGGAGTTCTTTCAGAGTGCTCTGATGCAGACGCGCCCAGGGGATGACCATGCCGCTCCAATTCGTCCTTGCGCCCAGGGCACTTCAGATGTCCAAGGTGAGATGCGTAGTAAGCAGCGTGAGTATACGGCCATGCGCAATCCTTATGCTCAGTCACTTTTTGACAGCTCGGGCGGCTGTGGTGTGATCGCTCGTCTGGCGAGAGCGACGACGTGAATTGCGAGCCGAGGCAATGTGTCGGTTCTGGCATTCCCGCGGCCGATGCTGAGAGGGTGGCGGCCATCATGGCTGCGGAGGTCACTGCGCGTCGGGCCAAGGACAGATTCGAGTCCACAGGATCACGGAGCACAGCGAGCTTCTTGACAAACATGTCGACGATCAAGTTCTCCCTCCGAGTGGGCCCCTTCGGAGTCTCCTCCGAACATCGACCATCAGCGAGGGCGTGTGGCCTTGATGATGGATACCAGCCAGTGTTTAGAGATCGAAAATCGCCGGCTGGCAGTGGCTATCGACGCTATGGACGTAGCTGAAGGAGGAGCCGTCGCACGGAGGCAGGTGATCATTGCCTTACTCATAAGAAGGAAACCGGCTCCTCGCCAAGGCCCAGGAGGTCAACCTCGACCGCTACTTGAGATGTGTCAGAGCAGGGCTGCTCGCGCCCAGCAGTGTCGCGAAGCGGAGACGGGCCTTATGCGCGCCGGAAAGCAATTCGAACTGTTCGAGGCCGACGTCGCGGGGATAGTTGCTCCAGAAGTGTCTGATGGCCCTCGAGGGGGCTGCGCTCACGGACATCCGGACTTTCTCTATCGCATCGCGGTCAGATCCCAGATGCAGCGGGTCCAGAGATCCAGGGGGGCCCGAGCCTCGCAGTCGACATGCGATCCACGTTTGGGCTAGTTGCAATCGTTGCTTCAGGAGGAGTTTGCGTTTGAGGGTCCATCGGGTCAAGTGTTTCAGCAAGCATCGGAGGACCAATTCCTGCGTGCTCGCCGACCTCTCTGAGGTCGCGGAGGGATCCAAAGGCTTCCGCGAGCCGACTAAGGCATGCCGTGGCAGAGTTCCCCTTAGCAAGCGCCAACGTCCTCTGGCCAGGGAAGCAGTCGAGGCGAGGCGGGCCAAGAACGAGACGCGTCGGCTGGCGCACGAGGCGAAGGGCAAGGACAAGTCCGGCAAGGGTGACGACGCGATGGGGGTCGACTCAAGCGGAGACGACCGTGAGGACAAGAAGGGCCCCGGCGGTGGGCAGCCGGGTGGAGCGTCCGATGACCGCCTAGCGGGTGATCCGCAGCCGCGGCGTGAGATCGCGTAGGTGCTTGAGATCAGACCCGAAGCCAAAGCAAAGTCCAGGTCTCAGGCCGAGGTCGAGGCTGCCGCGTTCTCTGCCAGTTCGTCGGCCGCGCTGGAGGCCGCTGAGCGAGATGTGGCTCGAGGCCCTGCAATGCAGGCAAAACAGATCGACGACGACAGGAAATTCCTCGAGCAGAAGTGCGTCGGGTCTGTTGGAGTTTCTGTTGTGGTTGCAAACGGAGGAGGAAGCGTGTCCGTCCTGGTCCACCGTCGGAGCCAGCATGTTGGATCGTGCTTCCAGACTCCGCTGCTGCAGCGGTCCGCGGTGCTCCTTTCGAATGCGCCTCTCGTTTGGCAGCTTGCAGGGGGCTCAGGGGGGAGTTTGGAATGGAAGTGGGACCTGGCGCTATGGTGGAGTTACCAGCTCTCACTGACAATCTCGCACCTAACCACCAGAACTTTTGGGCGTTCTACCCCGAGTGCCCTATGGTTCCTGGGCCACACGAGAAGCGCCGCAAGGAGATGATCTGGCAGGGCTGCGAGAACGTCGAGGGCACTCCAGCGGGAGATAACTATCGCGTCTGGGTGGGCATTGAGGACCTCTTTTACTTCGAGAACCTGCTTCGATGGCGTCGCCCGCCGCCTTCGTGCATTCGTGACGTCGAGAAACTTCGCGCCCGGAAGATGGCGCAGGATTCGGCGGAGCTCGAGACCGAGCCGCGGCGTGAGAGCATGCGCATGCTCTGAGAACAACGGGGGCAAGATGTGCCACCTGCCGGGTCAGAACAAGAGGGCTGCTGGCCGGCAGACGATATGGTGCCCTGCAAGAATCGAGTCATGCAGAGACTGGGCTAGAAAGAGCGTGAGCTGTCTACGACAATGATGTTGCAGCCGTGGATGCGCGGGCGGCAGCGCTTGTGGCGGTCCGCCGCCGATGCGCGAGGTGCGACGCGTGCCGCGCGCCGCGTGTGGACCAGCCTGTTGAAGCACACTCAGCAGGCGACGCCTCGAATGTTGCCCAGACGTGCAACATCTTTGACGGCAAAACCGTCAGCGGCATTCTCCAGGAGTGTGCCGACGAGGACGACTACTCACCGCTCGTAGCCTCCCCCGTCAAGTGCGCGGAGCAGGCGGACGAGGAAGCCGCGAGGGGCCCGCCTTGCGACCCGGAAGGTCCGACAAGACCCCATCCAGCATATCGCTTCGATGCCTTCCAGAACCCGTCAGCGTGGATCCAGGGCGCGATGAAGTTCGTCGATTGGGCGGAGCTCGACGACTTGCCGAAGATCGGGGGGGGTCTTTGGCGCGAGCACGAGGAGGAGAGCACCGACGTTGCGATCGTCAAGGGCTGGAGGGAGCTAGCCAAGGAGAGCGAGTTGGTCATGAATGACTCCGAGATGGACGGCCAGGGCAGGCGCGATGAAGCGAAGCGCCTCTTCGACAGCGCTCTGGAAGTCTCCGAGGCGGTGGAAGTGCTGAAGATGTGCGAAGACATCAGCCCCCGAGGAGACGAGGGGGTCAGGGTGGCACTGACAGCTTTCACGAGCATCGAGAAGTGCCTCTCCGTCCCAGAACAGGTCGAAGAATCCCCGGCTGAAACAGGTGATTGTTCTGGGACCTTCGGAACAGTGCATTAATGCACGCTGGAGGAGAAGCTTCAGCGCGTCAAGAAAAATAAGTCCGCCTTTGATGAAATGATGAGTAAGGCTTGGGAGACATGTGTCACGGTTCCCGTTTGGGGGGGGGGGGCATGGCCAACGCCCTGCGCCGCTGCGACCGTTTCGGGCGCCGTTTCGCTGGTGATTCGATTTGGAATGCGAAACTCGAGGACGGCTCAAGGTTTGCCCGGGGCCACCTGTATGACAAAGTTGAAGGGCCCTTTCAAGTCGGTCCGATCACGTATCCTTCGGGGCTGGTGGTGCATCTGTTTGGACATGATTGGCGTCGGGCGCACGGTGAGTAAACCAGCTCTCACTGGCAGGAATTCCGATTTCATAACGGCTTTCCACGGCGCCAATGTGGCAGGTCTGGTTTCAATTTGGGACAGTCGTGGCGTGCACGTTCTGAAGGCAGGACCTTCCAGTATGGATAATGTGTTTGGAGTCTAACTGCGAGGGTGAGCATCGCCGTGGCTGCTATGCGCATTGCATGGTTCACATGTCCTTTGACGTCTGTCCCGAGATGAGTTTTTATTCGCGCATGTTTGAGATGCAGGTCGATCGGGAGCGTCGTGTTAGCTATCCTAAGCTGCGCGTCCATAGGTAATGGTGCTACGATGAAGGCAGCAATCACTCGCGTCACGAAGCTCTGGATTCACACTACGACGATGAGGGGAGCTACGACAAGGTCCAGAGACGTGAGCCTATTCTCGGATGGTATAAGCTATGGAATCGGACGGTCAGGATGTACTTTGCAGCGAAGGCTTACCCATATGCCCTTCCGAGTGTACGGGCGCACTCAGACAAAGTCATCGAGGAGAACGATCTGAACCTGTCCAACATCGATTCCTTTCGGCCCGCGCTCGTGCCAAAGCACGACTGGTGGATTCCGCAGTGGGCTACGGAGCTTAGTGCCGCTGCTCGCTAGCTGGAACGCACGGGTACTCCCTACTGTCCGCCCAACTCCGAGCCGCCGAGCGTCATGAATGAAATGGGCGAGTCTGCGGGCGAGCCTGGATTGGATCATGGCGACACGAGTGTCAATCCCTGGGGGGGGGATCTTTCATAACAAACCTTTTCCATCGGTCTTTGTGCTTGTGTGGCTGGAACGGCCGCTCGTCACATGTGGCCTGCGGACGACCTTCGATATATAGAGAGCATCCGGACCCAATGCTGCGGTATGGCTACGGGTACATGCCATCAGCTTGAGGTGAGGAGGGGCTTCGGCTGAGTGTTCGGCCGGAAACAAATTGTAGGAACTGTGGTTGTTATGCATATTTCGGCCTTCCCTCCTCTTCCGCCCGCCTCTCTCTCACCTCCCCACCCCGCGGCCGTCTCGGGTCGCAGGGCCCTTGGGCTGTGTGGCGCGTTGGTTGCGGGCGTGCGCGAGCCCCCGAAAAAAAAGGAAAGAGTGCGTGCTCTCGCTCAGCGCGAGTCCCTTTACTTGCACTTCGTGTCTCTCTGTGTTCCTTACAGCTACCAAAGTGCATTCCACAAAGGGGGAGGAGGAGCAGGAGGAGGAGGAGGAGGAGCAGGAGGAGGAGGAGGAGGAGGAGGAGGAGGAGGAAGAGGAGGAGGAGGACGAGGAGGAGGAGGAGGAGGAAGAGGAGGAGGACGAGGAGGACGAGGAAGAGGACCAGGACTCGCGGGCGCTCAGGGCTGAACGCCGCCGGTGGCCCCAAAACCGGCCGACGTCGGTCGGTCTGCGATGTCGGGAGGTTGCGGCCGTCCACGCGGTGTCGGGGTCCAGCGCCCGCCCCGCCCCAGAGCTGCCGAACGGCCCAAAACTCCCACGTCGTGTTTCTTTGGCGCTCGGCGCGGGGACCCCATGAGGTGTACATCCCCTGCCTGGGGCCCGTGCTGCACGAGAGCGCGGCGTCGTCGTCGTCGTCGTCGTCGTCGTCGTCGTAATCGTCGTGGTCAGAAACCCGCTGTCGCGTTGTCGTGGCGACCGACGTGAGGGGTCTCGCACCCCCCTCCCGTCCGAGTGACTTTCGGGGGATAGCTCGGGCCCACGGCGGCCGTTCGGGGTGATTCGGGCACCCATCGATGGCTCTCGGCGAGGCGCAGTTGCCGAAAAACATCCCGACGCGAGAAGCCTCCAAGAACCAACGACTGCTTCCGAAGGTTTCCGCGAGAAGTTCTGGGAACACCTGGCCCAGAGATTTGATGTCGTGATTTTTTCAATACGGGGTCCCTGGAAGTGTTGACCCATTCCCCAGGACCGGTTTTTCATCCTGAGTCGTTTTTGACGGCCCTGGGGCCCTGCGAGGGCCCCTCAAGGCCAAAAACTGAAAAACCTCCGTCCAGATTTTTTCAATGCGTTGGATCTCTGGGGAGCGAGGCAAGGATTCGGGGTACACTGCGCTGACGCTGGCGCGTCCGCTTCCCGCGTGCGGTCGCAGGCCGGCATCCTCGTCTCCACGCTCCGTGCCACCGCGTGACGTCGCTGCGCTTCGCTGGGCCTGTCCCTCTACAGGAAGAATAGTCTCGGGGGCGGAAAAGCGAGGGGTGATGACTAGGGGTGTGTGGATATCATGGCGGGGGCCATGATGTCTCCCCAAATTTCAGGGCGCCTCTTCTTGTTTCATTACGTTCCTGGCCCCCCCGCTGGGCCGCGCACGTGCCGCCGGCCATGATTTACACCCCCCCCTCTTGGACACCCCCCTTGGCCGCCCCCGATATTCAAACAAACATAGTAAACAAAATAGTCAGGGAACGAATAGTTTTGTTTGGGTATTTTTTTGTGTTATTGGACTAGTTTTCGAGTGTTTTAGTTTTCGTCCAACATCCGCCTGTAGGGGGACCTGCCCGAACTAACGCGACGCCATCTTGCGTGAGACCCGTTTTTCTTTTCGTCGCTCTTTTGGAAATCGTTTTCTCTTTGAGGTTCCGGCGATAGCCGGGGGTTTATCGGTCGGGAGCCTTGAGACGGGGGTCAGTGCAAACGGGGGTCAGCCAGGGTGCCAGATCCTGCAGGATCCTGCGAAGACCCCCTCTGGCTGACCCGGGTTAGGAAGCCGCTCGTGGCCGCGAGGCGGCCGCGCACATTGGCTGACCCGGGTTTGCGAAGCCCTGCGTTGCAGTTTTTTTGCAGTTTTTTTTTCCCTGCATTGCAGTTTTTGGTTTCCTGCTGACCCGGGTCTGGATTGGCCCGGGTCAGAAGATCCCCGAATCGGGCCCGCTAGCCCCCCCTCGGATAGCCTGACCCTGTGGGTTGCACAGGTCCGAAGGGGGCACGCAAGAAGTACTGTCAAGGCGGGCTCGCCCCTCTACAGGAGGGACGTTCAGAAATAGTTCAAGATAGCCTGGGGACGATATTTCATGAACATTGTTGGACATTTTTTTTTTTTTTTTTTTTTTTTTTCTCCATGTTTTGTCCGAAGCCCGCCTGTAGGGGGACGTGCCCGACCTACAGGTATTGGTGCTCGCGGGCGTGCGCGGGGCTGCCCGGAGCGAAAAGATTGGGTCATCCGCCGCCCCTCCCCCCGTCCCACGGGACAGCCCAGGTTACCGCCCCAAACTAATGTCCCCGGGCGCGTGGCCGAAGTGGGGCTCCGCGGTGCGGATTGTTGTTGCCCTGGCACCGCTCGGACGTGTGCATTTTTCTTTCTGCGAGGGCCATCGAGGAGCATCCTTGATCATTTGGCGAAAGAGCCACGCACGAAACGGAAAAAAACACAGGGAATGGACGTCCGAGCGATGGCTATCGGATCGCAGGCTACCGCCCCAAGATAAATGTCCCCGGGCGCGTGGCTGAAAGTGGGGTTCCGCGGTGCGAATTGTGGCTGCGCTGTCTTTGTTGTCGTCGTCTCCTCGCCCGCGACCCCCCCGCGCCCCCCCCGCGACCCCCCCGCGACCCGCGACCCACCCCGCGACCCCCCGCGACCCACCCTGCGTCCGCCCCCATACCCTCATCCGCAATTTGGGGGTGCGACGTATAAAACGATCTCCTGGAGCGTGTTTCTTTATTGCTTGGGGCATGATGGGCATTATAGCCCCCGGTCCCCCCTACCCCCCCGATAACGTAACGTCCTTCCCCCCCCCAGTGCGCTCCGGGCACTGCCGCCGTGCGCACGGCGGGGGGGGAGGCGTTACATGATACCCCCTCTGGCCCCTCCCCCCCCTCCTTATAATGCACAATATCGCCGAAAATAAAGAAGCGCGCTGCTGGTCCTGGAGAGCCGACGTTGCGAACACATCGAAACATTGCAGAAAATCACGACCAGAGCCTTGGGCCCCATCTTTCTGCGTCATTATTCGAGCCGGATCGAGCTGTCAGGGTCCTGGGGGCCGCCACAAGGCACAAATCCCACGCTGTGAAAAATGTTGCAAAGCCAGGATCTCAGGGACCTGGTCTCTCGGGGCCTCTCGCCGAGCTCAGCACACTGATACTTACCACTCCGTTGGAGGCCTGGAGATGGGCACTGACGCCAAGAGAGGGGTTGGCCTCCACCAGGGGAAGCCCCTTCCAGATCTCGGCGCTGGTGGTACTACTTCGGCCACCCCGGAAGCCCGGGCACCGCCGCCCTCACCGAGATCGGGAGCGCCTGCCCTCGGTGGAGGCACACCGCCGATGGTCTCGCCGCGCCGCTTGCTCCGAGGCGCGGCCTGCCGCCTTGGGGAGGGCGCCTCGGCCATGAGGCCGGCGGCTGCCAGGGTTGCCCCCTTGGCCCGAGGTGCCCCCAGCTTTCCTCGCTGAACTCTGGAGCTCCCGGGCTTGTCGCTTCGATTCTGGGCTCTCCTGTCCCAAGAGGTCTCGATCCATTCCCCAGGACCGGTTTCTCATCCAGAGTCGTTTTTTGACGGCCCCGGGGACCGGTAAGGGCCCCCAGAGGCCGAGAGGAACGACGAACTTTCTTAGGGGAACGACGAAAATGGCATAAACATAAGAACTCGGAGGTCCGCGCGGATTTCTTGGATCCGCGCTGGACCGTCCCCTCCCTGGCGTGCGGAGCGCGCCAGGGGCGGCGCCGGAGGCGCCGCCAGGGGGCTCCAGCGCCGATCCGAGAAATCCGCGCGGACCTCCGAATGTTTATGTTTATGTTTCCCCGAGAAATCCGCGCGGAAATCCGCGCGGACCTCCGAGAAATCGTTTCCCCAGGTCTGGCAACGGCGCGGCGGCACTTGACGACGGTGTCGACCTCCAGCCCCCCGGCAGCACACTGAACCTCCCCGCGGCCGGCCGAGATGGCGGGCGCTCGCCTCGCGCTGGCCGGGCTGCTCGGGCAGCTGCTGCCGTGCGCGGGCCTGGGCGTGGCGCTGGACCCCCCCCGGGGCTCGGAAGCCTCCGCCGCATAACCCCCAGACCTCGGGCGGGTGGTCTCTAGTGAAGGGGAACTGGGACACACAAATAGATAGACGCAAATAACCAGATTCCCCATATTTTCCCATATTTTCTGGGTTTCTGTCTTCCCCCCCACTTCCCATATTTTCCATATTTTCTGGGGAATCGACGATTCATTGTGTCTGTGTGTTTCTTTCCCTCCTGATCTGGGCCTCCCAGATGGGGTCCGAGTAGATGGGGTCGGAGGATCGCGCCGCATCGTCGATGCATCGACGACGCGGCTCGATCTCGATGCGGCTCGAGGCGGAGTCCGACTTTCGCCATGCTGGCAGCGCCGATGCATCGAGGCCCCTATGGTCACGGGTGGTGGCCTAACTTCGAAGAGGAAGAAAAGACGGCATAGACGTAAGTTTTTGGCGCACCGCGCGGGTTTCTTGGATCCAGCGTTTTTTTTTTTTTTTTTTTTTTTTTTTTTTTTTTTTTTTTTTTTTTTTTTTTTTTTTTTTTTTTTTTTTTTTTTTTTTTTTTTTTTTTTTGTCTCTTCTTTTTTTCCATTAAAAAAGGATATATATATACTTATTTTAATTTATTATTATTATTATTATTATTCTTATTATCATATTAATTATTATTGTTTGTATATATATATATATATATATATATTATATATATAATATTACATCATATTATAGTATATTGTATTATATTTGTTTATTTATTTATTTACTTATTTATGCATTTATTTATTCTTTTGTTTGTTTTTTATTGTTGTTGTCGTTGTTTTGTTTTTTGTTTATGTGTGTGTGTATTGTTACATATAAAAAACATTTTTTTACGTTTCGTCCAAAATCCACCTGCAGGAGGACAGGCCCGACTGAAAGTTGTGTCCCCCCCCCTCACCGCTCGCCCGACCTCCGACGCCTCGATGTGAGTGGCCTGGCGCCACTCCGCCGGCCCCACCGGAGGAGGAGCGCCGGCCCCCTGGCGAAGCCGTCTGCCTCCTCGGAGCTGCTCATAAAGGGGCCCACTGGGGGCATTCTTCGGGGCCTCTTGGGTGCCTCTCGGGAGCCTCCCAGGGTCCTCTGGGACGCCTCGATGTGAGTGGCTTGGCGCCATTCCGCCGGCCCCCCCGGAGGAGGAGCGCCAGCCCCCTGGTGAAGCCTTCTGCCTCCTCGGAGCTGTTTATAAAGGGGCCCACTGGGGGCATTTTTCGGGGCCTCTCGGGAGCCTCCCAGGGTCCTCCTGGAGCCCCTTGGGGTCTTGTGGCTCTGGGGGCCTCTTGGGTGCCTCTCGGGAGCCTCCCGGGGTCCTCCTGGAGCCCCTTGGGGTCTTGTGGCTCCGGGGGTCTCTTGGGTGCCTCTCGGGAGCCTCCCGGGGTCCTCCTGGAGCCCCTTGGGGTCTTGTGGTTCTGGGGGTCCTCTTGGGGCGGACGGCGCTGGACCTCCCCAGGGCTCGGAGGCCTGCGTTGTACGCCCAGAGCTTGCATGTTCCGATTTTCTCACGGCGGGCCCCCCGTTGGAGCCAGCTTGGGGGCTGAGGTGGCCCAGCACTGGTTCTGGCCAGCAGGAAGGGGGGGAAGCGGCCCGATGTGCTGGGTTCGGGATTTTTTTTGGTTGGTTACTGTTTTAGTTCTTGTTCTCGGGCCTCCGGGGGCCGTTTTCGGGCCCCGGAGGGTCGGCCTGCGGGGGCCGTTTTCGGGCCCCGCGACCGTCGGTTCTCCCGGCGAGGGGCCCGACCAGATGCACTTGTGAGTAATGCAGTTGTGAGAGTGGTTTTCGGTGGAGCTCCCCATGGGGCCACGAAGCGTGTGAGGGGCGCGCCGAAATCGGTCGCGCGGACGCACGTGGACCAACGTGGACCCTGCCGCGGGGTCCTTCGGTGGAGCTCTCCTGTGGGGCCACGAAGCGTGTGAGGGGCGTTCGCCGAAATGGATAGTGTGGTCGCGTGTGGACCCTGTCGCTGGGGCCTTCGGTGGAGCTCTCCATGGGGCCACGAGACGTGTGAGGGGTGTTCGCCGAAATTGGTAGTGTGGTCGCATGTGGACCCTGTCGCTGGGGCCTTCGGTGGAGCTCTCCATGGGGCCACGAGACGTGTGAGGGGTGTTCGCCGAGATGGGTAGTGTGGTCGCGTGTGGACCCTGTCGCCGGGGCCTTCGGTGGATCTCCCCACGGGTCCTCGGAACGTGTGAGTGTGCCGCAGTGGGTCGTGCTGACGCATGCGAGCCCTGCCACTGGGGCCTCCGGTGGAGCTCCCTGATGGGAGGGAAGCGGGAGGAGAACGCGGGGGCTCTCCTTCTCCTCCTCCTCCTCCTCCTCCTCCTCCTCCTCCTCCTCCTCCTTCCGTAACCATTTTGGCTCAAGTCACCATGTCGCGCTGCGGCCGCATGGAGACTTCTGATCCGAGGCCAGATCCCAACTGTTTCCAGCCACCTCCAGGGGTGAGCTGGCACCCAAGCTTTCTGCCGCCACACTCAGGGGCTTGCGGCCGCCCATCCTTGCTCATCGTGCTGGCACTGCAGGCTGCCTCTCATATCGCGCGGTCGTGCCTTCCCTCCCCCGTCGCCGCGCACAAGCTGGACTTCGGCCCGTCCGACGTCGCCGTCGCCCGTTTCCATAACCCGCTGGACGTCGACTTGCTCGTTCCCCAGCCACGGCTTCTTCCACGTGGTGGTCCTGCGAAGGCCCTGGACTCCGTTGCTCTCACCATCAACTTCCTGAAGCAGAACAGCAGCTCGCTCGTCAGCAGTCACCAGTATCAGCCATGTCATCTTCCAGTGAAGATCGCTCTACCTCTCGAAGCGCTCCATCTGCAAGCCGAAGAAGGAAAGCCCGCCTCCGAGAACGTGAACGTCTCGGTCAAGATTGCGCTGCACGAGCTCTCCCTGACCGTGCTGATAAAAGTGGGCGAGCAGCTGCAGGGCTCCCCTCCATGTTCCCGCTCGACGACGCCGTTCCCGCTACTCAGGAGGCACCGCGTTCGGGCCGTGATCTGGACATGCCGCCCGCTCATGTCGCCCATCCGCTCGTTCACTTCAACAGCCACCTCTCAGCGCCATGGACACTGGAGAAGCAGAAGAAGCTGCAGCTCCAGCACGCGCTGCTGCCGCTGCCAACGCACGCCAATTTCAAGCAGGTGAAGGGGCTGGGCCACCCCCGCAACCTCCTGGTGAAGCTCTACGTCACGTTCCTCTCGCTGCCGCTGACCCGCGGCTCCCTGGAGGCGCAGCAGCCGATGGAGGAGCTCCCGCCGTCGGAACCACCGCCGATACCGACACTGCCACGCCGGGCACTCCGATTCGTCTACCAGGTCTGGACCCCGATCTCGACAAAGCTCGTCAAGATCTCATGCAAGCTCAAGTTGCACACGCTGCTAGTACATGTCAAGCTCAAGCCAACATTTTGCTCAATGATTCACGCGAAAGATTTCGCCAGCTGCTCGCACAACAAGTTCAAGCTACCGAACGACGAGTCGACACCCTCCATGATGTTGTCGCCCGCACTCGCAGAGAACAAGATCGTCAGGCTGAGGAACACAAGAAGATGTGGCTGCAGATCGACCAGATGCGCGAGACCCTCGCGCTCGCTGAGGCCCAGGCGCCGATCGCGGATCTCACCAAGCTCGCTGATTGGGTCCGTGAGATCGACCCCACGATCTTCACCATCGGGGCTCAGCGGCTCATCGCGCCCGACGTGCTCCTCAATGACATTCAGGAGTGGATCGCATCCGCCAGCCTGGGCTCTGGCGCTGTCGAACTTCACGGGGGCGCACCCGCTCGTAGATTTGTGTTTCAAGTCAAAGGAGGGCGAGATGTGGCCATCCCGCGCGCCATGGCGCTCTCACGAGCCCTTCGCGATGCGGGAGGCAGGTGGAAGCGCTTCACATCTGTCGACACCTCGGGCACGCCAACGGACATCTTTCTCAGCCCTGACAAGTCACCTAAACAGATTCGTACCGAGATTCCATGTAAGAAACTTCACCAGCTCCTTCAACGCCGGCATCCGCAAACATCTAGGAGAGCCTACCGAGCCAAGGACGAGATCCACTGCAGCGCCATGCCAGTTGTGCGCCTCGGCGTCAAGGGTCAAGCCGACCCCGCCATCCTGGAATGGAACGAGAAGGCGTTCGAGTATGCCATCTTCCGCGACCTTGAGCGAGGAGCCATCCTCTCGTCGTTCCAGTCGCTCTTCGCGGACACGGCGGAGGCCACGTGGCGCGTCTAGCCACCGCTGGGCGGCCTGGCGGCAGGACAGTCGCCTCGCCTGGCGTCCGCATTCCACCTCCGAGCTCGCCGCCAAGTTCCCCACCTACGTCGTCGGACTCCTCGCGCCCACGGCCTCTGCCGAGCTCAAGATGTTGTCGGACACGTTGGACCGCGACATCGTGGCCCTGCAGTGCATCGTCACGCACATGCTCAGCCTCCCCCTCGTTGTCGTCGGCGCGCCCGCCAAGCTGCGCATCAGTGTCTTTCTGCTCCGCGCCCTGCTTCCCGCGTGCGGGCTCGCCCTCCTGCCGCGCCGCGGCCAGCTTGCCATCGGCGAGCCCCTGGACCTGCTGGTGAACCTCACCTGGCATCCCTGCCCCAACTCCGTCCTCATCCTCGACCTGAACGTCTCCGACCACGCGCTCCTGCCGAAGGGTGACAACCTCACAGGCGTGCTCCCCGCGGATCGCCTCTCTGTGGGCACCTGCCCGCGGATCCGCAAGTACACCGATATCAAGGCCATCGCCGATGCGGCCAACTCCCTCACCAAAACCGCTGTGACAGAGCGGACTTATTACTCGCAGCAGGACATTGCCGTGGGCCGCAATCTCACCAAGCACGCCGTCAACCTCGGCGTCGAGATGCGACAAGCTGGAGTTCTACCTGGGGCCGACAAGCACGTGCTCGTCTTCAACAGCTTCGACTTCGCGCCTGCGCCCTTGCCCATCGGCCGTGGCTGGCTCTTCGCGTCGCTGGAGTCCCGCGGTGCCCTGGAAGGACTGATGAACCTCTCTCGCCAGCTGGACTTCGCCCCCAACAGCTTCCTTCAAGCTGATGGCGTTCACTACTCCATGTTCCCGATCGACGTTGGGGTGGCCCAGGGCTACCCAGTGGACGGCTCGGCATGTGTGTGTTGCCATGGACCTGTCCGTTCGCCGCGCCGCCTCGTTCGTCAAGACCTACAATAGCATGCTCGACTACGACAAACGCATCTTGGGCGGCTGCGCCGTCGACACTGGCCTCCCCGCGCTCTCGTTCAACACGCTGTGCGCCGACAGTGAGCCCGTTGCCGCAGCTCAGCTGCTTGCGCCCCTCCCCGCGAAGCTCCGCAAGTGGGCTGTCGCCGCGCCTGCAGCGAATTCTCCTCAGCTCACGCAGAGTGGCAGTGTTGCCGCCGCTCGCCTACATAATGCAACAGTCGTTTCAGTGCTCAGCTATTTCTCGCGCCCCATTCCGCCCAATCTGAAGCTCGCCCGCAGTGAACATTACATTTTCCTTAAGATGCGCAATCTCCTGCCTGTCGCACTTCGCAAAGTAGATTTTAGTGCCGGTGCTGGCTGGTTCCCGCCTTCTGCCCCGCTCTCTGCTCAGATTTCAGCCGTCGCCGCTGCCGCTCGCTCAGCCACTTTCACACCCCGTGGAGAATGGGAACTATTCTTCAGTGCCGTTCCGTTGCTTGCAGCTGCCGCGGCTGCAGCGAACCGCGCAGCTGCCGGCGAATTCCATGAGGCCCCGAGTGCTGAGCCACCGCACCGCCCCAAGGCGCAGCGCGCTCTGCGCTCACACTGCCGCGGGCATCCTTCTCATTGCCAGTCTCAGTCGCGCTCGTGAAGTGTATCGCAGCCTGGGGCATCCATCAGCCGCATCCGCTCCCAGAGCTCGCCACACGCTGCAATGCTTGCACGAATGCCATGCGCCCTGTCCGCATGATCTGTCTCTGGTCGGTATGCAAGACACTCGCAGGTGAATGGACGACGACCCA